GGTAGGAGGTGGGGGAGCATGAGTTCAAATCCTGCTTTAGCCACGAAAGCCAGCTGGGTGACTTTGGGCCAATTACCAGGAGATAGTGAGTTCTAGTCCTGCTTTAGCCACGAAAGCCAGCAGGGTGACTTTGGATCAATCACTAGGAGATAGTGAGTTCTAGTTTCACCTTAGGCATGAAAGCCAGCTGGGTAACTTTAGGTCAATCACCAGGGGATGGTGAGTTCTAGTCTCACTTTAGGCATGAAAGGCAGCTAAGTGACTTTAGGTGAATCACCAGGAGATGGTGAGTTCTAGTCCTGCCTTAGGCATGAAAGCTGGCTAGATGACTTTGGGACAATCACCAGGAGATGGTGAGTTCTAGTTTCACCTTAGGCATGAAAAGCAGCTAAGTGACTTTAGGTCAATCACCAGGAGATGGTGAGTTCTAGTCTCACCTTAGACATGAAAGCCAACTGGCTAGATGACTTTGGGACAATCACCAGGAGACAGTGAATTCTAGTCCCGCCTTAGGCATGAAAGTTGGCTAGATGACTTTGGGACAATTACTAGGAGATGGTGAGTTCTAGTCCCACTTTAGGCATGAAAGCCAGCTGGGTGACTTTGGGACAATCACCAGAGGTCAGTGAATTCTAGTCCAGCTTTAGGCATGGAAGGCAGTTGAGTGCCTTTGGGCCAGTCATTCTTTGTCAGCCCAACCTACCTCAAATTGTTGTTGTTAGGGGAAAAATAGGAGGAGGAAGGTGCATTGGATATGTTCACCGTCTTGAGTTATTTGTAAAAAATAATAAAGGGGGATACAAAAAAATAAATAAATAAAAATAAAAATATCCTATTCAGGCTCCTTGGAACAGTCTAAAAACGAGGCAGGCAATTGCTCTAGAAAAAACCTTATCTGAAAGCACCAGGACGTAATAAACAGTAGCATGGAACCCAAGCATACAAATCCGGCAAGATTTTTTTTATTTTCCCCCTGCCAAATTTACCCTCCTTCGTAGCCTCCGTTGTTTCAACTTGGAGCCCCATTTTTAAAGAAGTACAAAACGCTTCCTTTTCTTTCCGCCCTTCCTCAAAACAGTACTTTCCCCCAGAATGCGGTGAAATTTATTGAAATAGTTCCATCGCTGGGGGCCACTCAGATCTGCTCCCTTTCATAGAGAAGCTGAGAGAAAGAGGAGAGATTTCGAAACAGGGATGACGACCCTTTCTCAAAATTCTTCACCAGCTACTCAAGACAGTTCCCAAAAGTTAAGACGGTAGAAGTGAACTTAGCCAACAAAACCCTCCTCGGATGTCTCAAAAAGAAAAAGAGCAAACGACTTGCCACAACAGATCTATAATTTAGAAAAGAACAGAATAACAGAGTTGGAAGGAGGGAACCTTGGAGGACTTTTAGTCTGACCCTCTGATCAGGCAGGAGACCTTATACCAGGGGTGAAATGCTCCCGGTTCGGCCCGGTTCGGCCGAACCGGTAGTGATGACAGCCGGTGGTTCAGAGAACCGGTAGCGATGGCAGCTCGAGGCTCCACCCACTTGCCCGGTCATTGTTACTTCTTGGTTTTAACTAGGAAGTAACCTGTTTTTTACCCCTGCGCATGTGCAGAAGGGTTTGCGAATGCACAAAGAGTTGGTGCACGCAGTGCATGCACTTCCGAACCGGTAGGGAAGGTAAGTAGATTTCACCCCTGCCCTATACCATTCCAGACAAGTGGTTGTCCAGTATCTGCTTCAAAGCCTCCAGTGATGGGGCAGCCAAAACTTCTGGAGGCAAGTCGTTCCACTGATTAATTGTTCTCACTTTTAGGAAGAAAAAAAAGAAAAGGATTTTCCTTATTTTCTCTGCTCAGTTTAAACGAGTCCACTTTCCAGAATTTTGCCAAGGATAATTTCTTAAGTTTCTAGAAACGCTTCAAAAAGACGTTCTAGCAAGCACCTCCATATCTCCAAGGACATTTTTTTACTTGCTGTAAATTTCTTTGCCAAAAAGTGTCCTTGTTCCTTATTTTGGCTGCCTTGATCTCCTGGCAGAACTCTCCAAGGTGAAAGTTGAGACAGAACTAAGGAGAAATTTCCTGACAGTTAGAACAATTAAACAGTGGGACGATTTGCTTCCAGAAGTTTATGGCGCTCCGTCACCGGAGTCTTTCAAGAAGAGATTGAAAAAAAACATTTGTCTGGACTGGTATAGGGTCTTCCTGCTTGAGCACGG